CTTTAATGGGATTTAAATTTTATTCCATGATTGCATTGTAATGTTTTATTAGAAGCTGAATGTTAATATTAATGTTGTAGTGTTATTTTTGTTAAACACTTACATTAATTAATATATGGCCATATTCATTTATATAGAGTTAGAAATTAGAACTTAATAGTAATAGTCTGTTCTTTATACAGGCTAGGTTTTTTCTCCTTTTATTGGAGCCTGGAACTGGAACTTACCATCATTGGATCTGGATTCTCTCCCTGACGAGGGAGATGGCGAGCCTTCCCAGTTGAACTGAACCAACCCTTGGCTTTGGGAACAGGCAGTTCTCTACCACAAACTGTTAAAATTGTGCGGTGGGACGGTACCGTACTACACTTCAACACTTCTGGAATTGACTTGACTAAACTGACATATGCCGGCAGGACTTATATAAAATCTGAGCTCAGACAGGGAAATTAACAAATTATTTTGAATGTATTGTTTATGTTTATTTTTGTGCACAGTGTTCAATACATTTAATCAAAGTTACCTGTGGCTCCACTCATTCTTCTACCTTCTGCTTTAACTAATTACCCTCCGTACGAACCTAGATATTGGCCCAATCCACTAATAACTCCAAGACAACACTCCACCTAGTGTACAAGGGTTATATATATAATGAAGAAAATTATTATTTGAACCCCCTGCTATTTTGCAAGTTCTCCCACTTAAAAATCATGGAGGGTCTGACATGGTCATGGTAGATGAATGCCCAATGTGATAAATAGACATCTAAAAAGAAGTTATAATAATTCTAGAAATCCCAATATATGATTCAACTATTCATTATATTATATAGCTGTAAATAAGTATTCGAGCACCTGAGAAAACAGGTGCATCTACTTTAGGATAATAAATGGAGTGGAGGTGGACATTTTGTAGGCAGACTAACGGATCTTTGAGGGTCAGAATTCTAGCTGATAGAAAGGTGTTCAAATACTTATTTACAGCAGTTTCATACAAATAAATAGTTACAAAATCATACATTGTGAATCCTGGAATTTTATATTTTTTTAGATGATGTCTCTCTCAGTGGGAATGGTCCTACAATCATTGTCATGGTTTTTAGACACAGACGGAGAACAAGGAGCAGTTTAAGTTGTTTATTCAGACTACACACAAATATGAATGGTAAAGAACAAGAGCGAGTGTTTGGAACCAGTGTTTGGGGCTCTGCGGGAGGAAAGAGGAAACTGATTAAAACTAAGAAAGTTAAGGAGATCTGCTCTGTTGCTTCTACGCTTATTGGCAGGTACGGATAATCTCTCCGGGCAGCGAGTGAGTGGAGGAAAGGGTTCTATAATTCGCAGCTTTCCAATGGGAGTAATGGCTGAGCGACAGGTGGGACTTAGGCGGGGGCCCGAGTGTCGCCACGGCGGATACAGCTTCGAGGAGGAGCTGAAGGAAACAGTGTGAATCCAGGAAAGGGGTCTCTTGTCTGACTACGTAGCACTGAGGGGGCTTCGAGAGGATCGCCAGAACAGGATCTGAGCTGCAGGGATTCAGAGACCAATCTTCAGAGCATGGAGACAGGCGGGTGAGCAATCCAGAGCAACTACGAACTAAGGGAGACAATAGACAGGTTAGAATAAGGAATCCAAAATATCAGGTTAACGGGGATCTGTCGACAGAACTGAGGCCTAGACGTACCACAGTGGTTTAACCCATTTAGGCCTAAAACGCCTGGAAAAAACACCTTAAAAACCTATGGCCGATTTTAAAAAATACCCCTAAAACCTGAAGTTTTTCTGTAAATTCAGCAACTGTGTCAACGCCTAGTAAATTATTGATATCTCAGCTTCTGTAGCAGATAGAACTCAAAATATATTTTATCTTTGAAATTCTTCCAATTCTTGGTTTGTTTGGTCACTGTACCTATTCGTGTCGGTA